CTGTAATGTCACATTTTCGTTGTTCCCGTTTACGTCCCATGAATTTCAAAAGCTACTGCGAATTACTATTGTTAATTATTTGGCCAAATCTCCATTGCGAGAGGCGCTGAATATTGCAGGCAAAAGCCAAGGGCGAAAGTAATTAACATAATGGAATGACGCTACTGGAATCTCGGTCGCATTACAGGGGTCATTAAATAAAGCACACGCCTCCGCACAGACGCTAGCGCATTTCAGAGAAGTTGCAGAATTCTCTTGAGGAAACACACTACCAGAAAACCTCCTACAAATACTGATTTTTTTAAAGAATCAAACTTTGCGCGATTTTTATTTTAAAAAGTGGTCATACGTATACTTTATACGTCGAGAATGTCTGTAGCAGAAAGCTGACTTAAAAGATCGAAGCGACAATACCATTTACCCAATAAAACAGAAAACAACGTATATGCAAATTTTAGAAAAAATTAACAATATATTTATGTTTAAAAATGTTAACGTTTGGAAAATACTTTGTTTTCGGCGTATTGAAGGAAACCTTTCAAATTTTCGATCACTGTTACAACGTTATAAAGCGATGTACTGCAAATAACTGACAGAATAGTAATTATTCAATACATTTGTAATACCACTTTATTACAAGAACAAATAGAATTAAATATATTTTATTGGCGTAGAAGTATCAATTCGCCATCTTCAGCTACAACTCGAATGTTTCTTACCGGATGGCGAACTGTAATATTCGTAAAGAACAGCGACAGTTAAAGATGGCTTTTGTACCCTATTTTGGGTAATATCTTGGAAGATAGTTTTTAATGTACGTTTAAATGTATTGATAGCAGAAAAGGAAACAGAGTTAGTTTATACAACACGATTTAGTCTATTTTCCATTTCAAGTCACACTGTACCCGATTTCTATTTGCGACAGTTCTCCACGTTCACTTATCTTCATAGAGTAATTATTACACTAGAATATGCATATTTCTAACGAAAAATATGAAAATGAGATCATTGCAAATGGAAACGTATGAAATATTCATTTTTGATAATTAATAGTAAACGTTTATAGAAAATATATATGGCAGAGACACTTTAAAATGATAAAAATTATATAAAGTTAGAACTTTTATAGAACATATTTGCAGAATGTTTTGTAGATATAATTGTTCGCTATAATGTTATTTCATGAAGGCCACTTTTCTTTCTATATATTATTACTTTCCCGTATAGGTACTACGTATATTCGGAGTGATATATGTATAATGGGGAAAGTTATTGAATGCTGCAGAAAATCGATTTTGACATTTGAATAATACAAGTTTGGGGATCCTCAGATACCGAAAAAGAGTTTTTTCAAAAAAACATCTACCTGTCCGTCCGTCTGTCTGTCTGTCCGTCCGTCTGGTGTCTGTGAACACTACTAGCGCCTAAGCCATACGTAGGATTTTTCCAAATTGTAGAAACCTCTGTCCATTCAGCTCGAGTTCAAACTCTGAGATTTTAAAAAACATTCTTCAAAACTTGGGGGTACTTTACATGAAGCCCTCCGGACATTTTAAACATTTCCTCAAAAATGGCTCCAAATTATTTCTTTATTTTTTTTAAAGAATAAAGTAACACACAGTTTTAAACCTGGAATAGGTCCAATTTTCACGGATAACACGAATTTTTGAAAATTTCAATTTTTTTCAGTGTCTTCTTACTACTACAAAATTAAAGATAAAGATTTGTCCTTCAAATGAAATTTGTTCTCCATAGTCTTTCATTAAGGTCATAAACATTTTTAAAAAAATTGTATTCTTCGTCCAATATTACGTGCAATATGCCCAATTTTGAAAAAAATACAAAAACAAGATTTTCTCAAAAAGTCTCCAAAAGGTTTCTTTAAAATTTTTGTAGGTATAGTGCTAAATATACTCAATGAGATGACATAAACGCCATGTTGCTCTCTTCTTTTGTTTCATCAAAAATTACAAAAAATTAATTTTTTCACTTGTGTCTCATGTCATTAATATTTATATTAGCAGTAATTTGTTCACATTATTGTATTTACGTACTTGTGCTTTAAATCATGTCATATAAAGCTTCTCGAAACTCAACCGTTTTCTGTGAAAATGAGCTCGAAATTCCGCCTTTTCAGGAACGCCAAACGCTGTTCTCTCAAAAGCGCTTCCAGTTTTTTTTAACTTTTTGAAAGGATCGTGCTAACTGCACTCTTTAATACGAGGTCATTTTCATTTCGGAACATTTTTTCTTAAAAACTTACGCAATGTAATTTTTTGAAACATTTCTGATTTGAAAGATTGGTAATATGCGCATTTCCAATACTTTGTAAACACTATTTGTGAGTTAATATGATTTAAATTACTTTAAATGAAGTTTTTCGAAAACTCAAAAATTTGCTATGTAAAAGTGCTTCAAATTTCGAATGTACTGTAGCGTTTAAGCGCCATTTTCTTAAAAACAGCTCAAATTTTTCAAAGAAAAATACAATGTAGGTCGGTTTTACTGTCCTTTAATATTCTTATAATAATATTGCCGCTCTACAATGAGAAAACAGAAAAATAAAGAAAAGTTCAAAGAAATGTACTTTGGACTACGATAGAAAGCAACAGGGAAGAGTATATGAAAAAATCGTATTCTGAAATTACTGAGCGAGAAGTAAATTGTATTTAGACCTTGAATAACAGGCAAATCAGGACCACATTGATTGATAATAATACATTTTTGATTAATAATATTATTTTTATCAATCGTTATTCAATATTCAGAGAGACACCTACAAATGGGAAATATTTATAGAAGACCCCTTTCATCGAAAGAAAAACAAACAAATTGATCTGAATGTTATACCAAACAGAGTTCACGTCTTGAGCACAACCCAGCTCAAACACTTTTTACGTCAAATGCCGCATTCTCTTCAGAGTGATCAATATTCTACTGGTTGCCGCCAGCATAAGTTGCCAATATGCACCATCAACAGCGCGCAACTGTATCGCGTCATCTCCTAGAAAACGCACCTCTCCTATCAGCCCGAGAAGGCCCCCCGCCCGGGGCTGAATCAACCCCCCACAAAAGAACCGACTTCACACTCGCCGCACGCCCCTCCGTGCCGTGATAACGGCCCTGAAAGCTCCAGGGCTTTCTTGCCTCCGGGCGTAGCCTCTGCACGCTAAACGACCAGCCCACGCAAAGAGGGACTTCTTGATGATCTTTTCGTGTCGGTAACTTTTCTTGCTCGGGAACAAATGGAATTTTCTAGTCGCTGAATGGACAACGTTTGCTTCGATCTCCAAGGGGCGAATTTTCTTTTTTTGGGAGGCCCGCCCGACGACGCACTCTCGCAGCCTCGCGAGAGCTTTTGTGTGTCACGATGGCTATCCGTCATTACCGTCAAAGACGAATGTGGGAGACGTGGAGTGGAACGTGGGTGTTGATGGGGAAATATGAGGTTTAAATTTCCTACATCAACGGAATGGAATCTCAAAAGCATTTATTATCATTTGTTGTTGAAATAAGCACTTTATTATCTGTGAACTGTGGGAGGAAAACATGATTAGTAACGAAAAACAGAAATTGGACACGTTCGAATGAAATCAGGTGTATCTATAACTACAGAATCCGTAACGGAAACCAACTAAAGAACGTTAAAAACTGACGTCACAACATGTACAACAGGACTATTTGAACTCGTGTGAATATATCACATTTTGTTAATTATTGTTTCTAAAGTGAAAATTGCTTTACACTGAAACCCGACATTGAACGACTAAGTTTGGGACTGAGCGTTACATCTTATACATAAATCCAATTCTGTAGGAGACATTCTCGTATTGGTAAGTGCTTATTAAAAAGTAAATATTTATTATGAGATATTGATATAAATTGCACAGCACATATAATAGTAAATTTAATGTTATAGATTTCAAAATTCTTCTCTCTTCTGACACTCCATTCTGCAGAGTATAAATCCCAAAAAGGGTAAAATTACCAAAAACTGTGAAAGAAGGTCCTTAATTGTCATTTTTTAGCTTAGAACCTAAGAAAACTAAATATCAAAAAAATTAGATGTTCAAGACAAATAATGCTTCTTGAAATCACTATAAGTTACAAGAATATAACAGACATTGCTGTAGCTTCTACGGAAACTTCAGACACACAATATTCCAATATAGTACGACCTGGTTAATCAATCTCCTTTGAGTGATGGTCATGACTTGGTGACAAAATCAAGAAAGCTAAGTGCAGTGATGCAAACTCAACCAAAATGAATAAAAAAGGATAAATATTTTTTTTACAATCTTTACAAATCGTTTTAAATTTTGTTTATAAAGGATTACCTCGTCAATAAATTTACTTAAATTACTATATAATTATTGGAAATAAGAAAATTATGATGGTGATTAACGGAAATTGTCCTTTTTTATAACAAATTCCGTATTATTGATGGGTAATCTACTTCCAAATAGTCCAAACATACTAAATTACGAAAGGGTTCTAAGAAAATTTAATCTACGTAGTCTAGAGCTCAGTTAGGGATGAACAAATGATTTGGCAATCTATGAATACAACAACATAAAAAAATTTAAGAACAGCATACTCAAAATACTAATATTTATTGATATTTACGGTATCAATAAAAAACAAAAAGGAACAAGTTCTAATACATAACTTTTCATGTCTGACAAGCACACCATAAACAAAAAAATCAACCTTATAATGCAGTTTTGCAGTATAATAGTTATTAAAATATTAAAACCAATTTCATCATTTAGTTGATCGGAACTCAAATATAAACGTCGTCATCCAGTCCTCTTAATTGGCCCCAATTGATATTCAAAGAGTAAGTTTACGTACTTTATATTTACGCTAATTAATTAGAGGATCATCGTGATAGTTCACGGTTGAAACTTGTTAAAATCAATCATGTTTCTAATTTGAGAACTGGAATAAGGTTGTTACATCACTGTTATTGCAAATATCTGTATGGTTCACTTTTATGCTTAAATTTCCGCTACATATTCTTGAACATTTATAAGTTCGTCTTTAACTTCTTGTACATTGCAATCCATGTATTCAATATTATTCTCAGCATTTCCCTGTGCTGTTAACACGTTTCGATTTTTCAATCGACGAAATAGCAAAATATGTGGTTCCGGCCGATGAATCATGTAATGTATCCATCCTTCACTTTGCTGAACACCCAGTTTCCTCCATTGTTTCTCCGACATGAGTTCCGTCTTCGGAACGTTCTTGACCATGTTTTCTGGAAGCGAAACATGTCTGTACTCGTAGATGTCATCGAAGTATTTCGGCGAATAATATATTTCCGAGTGAGGCATCGTATTCTCTATAACGGGTTGAGGCACAACCGAAACGTGAACAGAAAAAACATTTGAAAAACATAATAATGACACAACATTCATATGTTATGAACAATTACTATAAGAGTTTTCAAGCTCAAATGGTCTCAGAGAAAATAGATTATACCAACTTCAGGAATATCACTAGTTATTCTAACAATTGGTTTATGGATTTTCGTTGCACTTAAAGTTTAGTAAAAGTTTAAGTTTAGGGAAGTCAACTGTCAATGAAACTTCTATGTGTTGGCTGACGTGCTGTAGTAAAATTTGTTTATAGGTATAGTTTGCATTATTTGCATTTGTTTTATTTTCTACCAACATGATTGAAACTACACTCTTGAACGTGTGGAAGCAAAAAATTCTATTACCAATTATCAACTTTATCCATTTTTCAAAACTTCACAAAAGTACGAAACTATTTTTCTCATCCTCGAAACCAATCACGTTTTCCTAAGATATTTTCTTCCCCCATAAATTAAAACTTTTTTCATTTGTATTTAACTCTTTCTTAATTACTTTTCTATTACAAAATTAAAATTAGTAATAGCATGTTTATTAAATGTTTGGTAATTATTGGTAAATGTAGCTTTGAAACATTGGTAAATTGGTAAAACGTTTCAAAGCTATAGATATTGGTAGAAAATTTACTTGAAAAGTTAAATCCTGGCATCTTGCTTCTACATTATGTACTGTTCCATTCCCTGAAAAATTGTAATGAAATTGAACAAGTAGCAAATAAACATAAAAAACAAATGGATAAAAAAGAAAAAAAATGTAAATTAAATTTTAAATTCCGAAGATTGACAATTTGATACTTCATAATAAAAATATCTCATTTCGTACGGCATATGAAACATAATCGAATTTTTCATTACAGATTGCTTCTGCCATTCCTAGCCTTTTCACGTTGGGTCCTCTAAATACAATGCCTGTGTATATTAACTTCATTGATAAGAACACACAAAACATTAACTTAATTTAATCAGTAACAAAATCTTATTTAATATTATTTTGCAGAATTCGTTTTTGATTGAAGATGATTTAATTTAATACTAATTTAATAATTCATTAAAAATATGAAATACGGCTTAACATTTTTTCTTTCATGTTTTTCCTCTTGTAGAATAAATTACTTAAACATTTGAGAAAGGTCCCTTTTTTAGAAATATTTCTATATTTTCAAAAATAGCCAACCAAATTTGACAATATAAAACAACAATAGTAATGATAGAGATTTTCTTAGTGAAATCCGTTCTTTAAATCTAGATCTTAAATATACAAATTAAAATCTCTGAACTTCTTAAAAATTTCTAATACAAATGTTCAACTTTTTGCGTCGGAAAAGGAACGTTTATCTGTGATCACTCGCTATAATGAAAATATTATATATATATATATATAGTATATCTAGTATATATATTATATATATATATATATTATATAGTATAATAGAAACTGGGCAGAAAAATCAAAATAACATTGACTCAAAAAAAAAAAACACGCTAAATATTTACTCTTAGACCATATACCCCTCCTCTTCCCATTGAAGTTTAAATAATACAAGTAGAGCCGATACTTGTATAAACGATGCTCACCATCAAAAAGACAATAAATACTTAGGCCTATACATCGAGATTTACACTAAATTTGAATATATCAAATTCACAATAATGTAATACATGCTGAAAATAAACTATAGTTAAATCCAATTATGACAGAGACACAATTTACCATAGCAGAGACTCCACAATACACAAAAAAATAGTTATACCCTCTCACTGTTTGCATGACCAATATGACTAATGCACCCCAATACAATCTAACCCAAATGCAAGTTATTTTCAAATTCTTTGAGGACAACAACGCAAGTGTGGTTCATATATACTACACGATTCTCAAGAATTTCAATCTCCTACTCATAACCCAGCACAATGTATATTTAATCCACCAATTTTCTCCAAGCTAATGCAGATACAAAATGTAATCGGGATTCACGCTGAATACAAACCCTATCTACTCCTATTGCATACAAAATTATTACCCTTTTCATATATTCTTCAAGAAAGTTTTCTGAACTTGGCACTAATTAAAGGTGACAATTTGATTTGTCTTTACGCAAATCGCTGCGTCTAGATTGATTTAGTTTAGTTATAAGTCAACAAGCATGATGAGGGTGAAATAAAACGCAAATAAAAACGAAATGAAAAATTAAATGAGTTATGAGAATATAAAGAAAAATTGATAAATTTAAATCCAAAACTGCAATTGGGGTATAAACGCGGTGACAGCTAATTACAAAATAAGATAATATCTGTAAGCAATGTAAATTTGACACGATAATATATTTAATTCCTATAATAATAATAATATAAGTCAGATAATTATAAAAATAATCATATGTATATAATAGGCATCTATAAGACTATCAAATACATGTAATATATGTAATAATTATAGAAAAGAAATTCATAGTAAATATTCAAATAATACGCATCTATAACTAAAAATAATTGTATATATATATAATATTGTTATATTCGAAAAAGACTGATCATCAACCCTAAGACATTAACTTAAAAAAAAGAAGATTCTTATACCTATTCCGCACTGCATGTTTTGTTCATTAGAGACTCATCAATGCACTCGGCATCGCATGCCGCAGCTGGGCACGGACTGCATCTCGCACTGTCCGCACTGTTACGTGGCGACTGGCAACGCCACTGGCACTGCACTGGCACTGCACTGGCACTAGCACCTGGTCACTTTCTCTTGCTTCTCAGATTCTCGATGACCTAGTTGGTAAATCAGCTCGTCGCTTTCATTATATATTTCTCTTGCTCTTACACTGGCACGCACACTGCAACTTCAACACATATATCGCAATTCGTATGCTTTCGCTCTAGAATAACTCTACTATTGGCCTGGAGTTAAGTCCTCATTTACTCAGTGAAAACCGAAATTAATCTTTTTCTTAAATTGTTTTTGAAAGAGATCTGTTTCTCGAGGAAAGTTCAACAGGGTTTTTTGGGCGGCCAGGCAAAGCTAATTCCATTCTTTTATTCCGAATTTGAGTTTGGAAGAAAATTTTGAAGGTTATTCGAGTGAACTCCACTTCTCTCAGGCAATGATTCTTCTCTTTGTGTCCTGAAAATGGCTAGAATAATTTAGTTGCCAGCTACGGTAACATTATTTCCAAAATGTTTAGCACTGTATCTTTTGAAAACGGAGTCGCGTAATACATTAGTTCTATAATTATATAAATCAAAACAAAGACAAGCGAATAAATAATGCAACTTTACGCGCATTCGACACTATTGCCAGGCAGTATCTCCTTTTTAGCAGTATTTACAAAGTGAAGAAATCTCCAGACTTTCCCTACGACAAAAAAGTCTACGTGACTCGTTTTTCCTCATGCTTGTAGACTGAAACTATCGAAGGAGTACTAGGGAGGAAACTATCGGAATATTGTTGTAATGTTCTCGCAACAGTAATTTTGTTTTGCTGTACCCTGCCAAAGAGGTGCTGGATTTGCGCCTTCTTCCTGAGTGTCTATGCTTAAGTAGGCTTTCCAATTATTTCCGGTCAGCAATATAACGGCCATCAGAATCCGTTCGCAAGTATTGTCTTCAAATGCTTCTTTCGAATTCATAACTACGAATATCAATTCGGAGTGTAGCGCAAATAGTCTGCAAGCTAGTTCGAACCATTTGGATATAAGGCGCTGGCAAAGTTCATTGACGAACGCCTCAGAGATATAGACAGAGGTCCAATCCTGACACTCCTTACGCTTCGGTTTTAGTTCCTGGAATCGTGAACCGCTTTAACTCCGTGAAGGGAAACTTTTGGCCAATATGCCAAGATTTTCTGTCTGCTCAGAATCTCGCGAACTCGCGACCACAACCCTGAAATATATGCCTGAATTCATTAATTTTCTTGTAGCAAGCCAATCGTGGAGATCATCAAAAGGAAATCATAACTAAAAAAAACGCAGTCCCACTGCAAGTGGGAAAACGAATTATTGTCCTGGGCTTATTGCCGGGGTGAGTATAGTTAGTATAGACAAATTTTTGTGGATATTTATTGTTACGCTAATGTTGGTTTCAAAAAACTGACTTAACCTTAGTGCTTCAATGACATTTCCTATGCAACATGTTTACTATATATTTCACAGTTATATACCTCAAAGATACTTTGTAAGTGGCCCTAAACAAGTGAAGCATATAAAGTCATATTATAGATGGAATCGTTAATATTGGTTCAAAACGCAGTTCATTAAAGTACCTTCTGTCTTCGTTTCACGCCGTCGTCTTCCAACGCAATAATCACTCATAACAAGCCTGATTAAGCCACACTCAGACATCATCATCACTCAGATTGCAGTAACGTTTCAGTTTGCACAGTCCACAATCTTGTCGAATATGCTTATCCAGAGAGTTTACCAAACTGGTCAGCTTTGGAGGATTGGCCACGTTGGAACGGCGCCCTTTATGTTTTCTCTTCCTGACTTTCCACATCCAACACTTGTAGTCTCCATGATGGGGCGTCACGGGCACGGTCTTGTGGCGACGAGCAGCGAGCCCAATCTCATCAGATTATCTCCGATCTCTCCAAATGTAGTAGGCATCACGATGTGCGTCTAGACCACGTGTAGGGAATCTGTTGAGCGGCCGTTTCCGCCCGCTTTTTTTTCCCTACCTTTTCGACTTCAATTGAGGTGTGACCTGACATCAAGTCATTTCGAAGAGATCTCGAGAACATTTACTGAATTCTGTTCCCGATACGAGGTAGAACGGGGGGCGTGCCTCTCATTGGATTCATGGGGATGTTTCCTCGCGTGGACATATGAACCTTGTTCGGGAGACGGCGCGCCACGGCCCCTTGAATAGCATCTCTTGTCT